TTTTTTTTTTTTTTTTTTTTTTTTTAGAACAAATACATTCTTGTAACATTTGGTATAAGCTCTTCCAACAAAAATGTCTTTTGTTTTAAGTTGTTCCACATTGCAGCTTTCCTTCTCAGATAAAGAAACAGTAGGAAAGATAGTGCACACGCACTAAAGGGCATATTGGAGAATACTAACAAAAAAGATCACAAAATATAAAATCTTGGTTTGATAAAATTTGGACTATGATCTTGGAGAAGAATTAACCCATGCATATGGCAACAAAAGGGTCCCTTCAGAAACAACATGTTATCGATGTGAAAAGTCACCTGAAAGGTAATACTTAACAGTGGTCTCTTCCTGTAAATTGCCTTCTGTCTCTAAAGTTTCTTGTTACTGAATGCTGATAGCAAAAGGAGGATGTTTAGTTTGCTGGTAACAATATTCTGTGCTCTGAATTTACGCTAAAATAAACCCAACTTGGGAAACAAAGCCTCAACATTATCTCCCTTTATAACTGAAAGTCAGGAACCAGTAAATGAGTAAGACTGCCATCGTGACAATAAAACATCTCTGATACATTACTACAGAGACAAACACCAGATTTACCTAAAAACAAATCAAGCCGATTAGCACTTGATAACATTAAGAAGCCACCAACAAAATCTAATGTCGGTATCATACCTGGGAGCACATGGATGTTTATACTGAGCTCGTTTATTGATGTGATCCACGTAATAGACTCCAAATTCTGCTGACTCAACTCTCTCCCATCCCGGAGGCAGTCCCTCACGCTCAAGTGGATGACTCCAATGCGTTGTATTAGTATTATGATCTATGTAGTATTTCCTTCCTCTAATAGTCCAGTCCACTGACCAGCCAGGGGGAAGAGGTAAATCTTCAGTACTGTGATTTGTTAAATTTCCTAAAGATGTAGCAGGAACCCTCCCAATACCTGAAAGAAAGTGAAACAGTTCAAATGCCAGCAATTAACATGCTTTCAAAATAATGTAAAAATACTTTCCCAGGGAAAGCAATAAAAGATAACCTTCTAGATGAATCATGACACAAAAATCGCTGCAGTAGATTTATAACCTACATGTTTACAGACTGTTTTTCACTAACAGATTAGAAAGTGGAAGAATTCAAGTGAAATGCTAATTACTGAGTAATTAAACTGCCTGCCCCAACTGATCAGTGACAAATGGAGCTGTAACCTCTCTGTAAATTAGGCCTTACATCTCCATCCCCTGCCAAAAACACTGGGTTTTTGCTTAAATGAACTTCTGACACTAGGAGCTCTCCATTTTACTCATAATGGATGACTGATATGGGAGCAGTTTATCAAAGCTTCCTAGCTTTGCATTTTGCATCTACTGGAAACAAAAACCATGTTTGGATGCTGGTGCCTGGGTGACCTGCTTTCACTAGACTTGGAATTCACTTTTTCCATCAGAAATTCATGTAGCAATAAACAACGAAGCTACCTCCAGCAGATATAAAGAACATAGCTGAAAATGTAAAACACACAGTGACCCAACCAAAAATTTCACGAGTTACCACCTTTCATTCTCTAGTGGTTTGTAACTCTGAAAAAGCACATGCTCAACTTCAACTCTTTCACATACCTTTAAAATATAGATTTATTTTTTTTCCTGTTAGTGTTATTTTTGCATTTTTAGTTGGATACCATTTTGGGGGGTTTTTTTGGCATATAACACAAATAAAACAGACAATTTTGGGGGAGGGAAGGCAGAATGTAGGAAATGTTTTTTCCAGTCACGGCAAGAGTGGCAGCATGACGCAGTTCTTTACTATCATTATTTATTTATGTAAGTTCCTTTTAAATAAAGTGACGGTACCACATACCGAGCTTCATCAGCATACTACCTGCAGCTTGCTGCTTCGGGCATGAGCTATGATAATTAGGCTGTGACAGGGTTAACACAGGACTCCACCCCTCCAGCTTATTGAGCCAGACATAAAAGGCAGCCCCCTTTGCATGCACAATAGCTCCAGGTTTGCATCTTTTCCCGTGAAGAAACCAGCCTCCCTGCTTAAGACATGTACCCAATTTTTGGGGGGAAAAGGTGCATGTTGTTTGCAAGAGAATATGGTATTTCTCTGGCTGTTAGGAAATCCAGATTTGTTACTTTTAAACTCTACACAACAAATGCATGCCACTGGATACTAGCATTTCCCAACTAGCTGGTAACTGTCTTACTAATAGAAGAGAAGCAAGGGGTTTTTTGCTGGTATTTTTTCCTGGACCAACTGTATAGTTGGGAGAAATGTTAGACAAGCTTCTGGGCACAAAAGTGACACTTTTTACCCAAAAGCTTGTCTAACATCTCTCCTAACTATACAGCTGGTCCAATAAAAGATATAATTAAAAAAACCTCACTTCTTGCATACTTCCTGACCTTCACAGCTACAGCACTAATATTAGATTTTCAAGTGAACTGCATTGAAGAAGTTAGCTTTTTCTCCTCTCTCAGAAGTTAAATAGCCGATTCCAGCACAGCACCAGTGTTTCCACAGATTAGAGTGAATATTGCTGCAGCTTTGGTTCTTCAGAAATTACATATCCAATTGTGTCCATACTATGCACCGTATACATACAAATGCACTTTGGGGGAAGGGGTGGGCAGGCAGCTAGGGAAAAGGTACAGTCCTCCTCATCCAAAAAATAGCACTAAAAGGACCTTTCTTGTATGCCAGTTAACACAAAAGAAAATGCTGAAGCCAGAAGAATGTCAGCATTGCTCTTTTGCTTCTCCATTAATTATAGCAAACACAGTTAGTTTGCACTCAGCAATGATTCTGCTTGGACTACACAGACCTTATGACAATTTGTTCAGAGAACTGCATGGAACTGGAAATATACTCTTTTCTATTACCTGAGCCATTTACACATAGGGCAACACAAGTCCTGGAGTAACAATTCAACTGATTTTCAGTCAAAAATATTAGCTATGAGCAATAAGGTACTGGGAGAAGTTGTAGTGTTGTTGTAGCCTTGATGATTCAGGGAACGTATGAGGCAAGGTTTTTTTGTGACATCTTTTATTGAACTAACTGCTAGGTACTTGGACAAAAGGCCTCAATGCTTTTTTCTGAGTGAGCACTGACTTTGGAAATATTTCCACTCTCCAGTAAGATATTTCTAGACATATTACACCTTGATCTATTACCCTGAATTACACTATTTTTACTGTCTACTACCTTTACAAAAGGAAAGTGAAAAGTTGTATCTCAAGTAGTGATCCCAAGAAGAGACCTGGCACCCTGGAATCTGATTCCTTATCCAGGCGTGGAGAAGGAGCAACAGCAAAGAGACTTCCTGATCCCTTTCCATTATCAAGGTTAGAGACCCCACATGCCATTATGTCAAACAGTTCCTGTTTTCATTTGCAAGAGGAAATACAAAAGGCCAAACCACTTGAAAAGATACTGGACTTCAGATAAACAAAGCCAGTATTTTCTCCAGCTAATGGGACTGTTATGTTTGAGATTACTGGGATGTGTAAACAAAAACTGCTTATAATATCAGCATCAGCAGGGGATTTAAATACGTGCACATTTTGCTCTGAGAAAGAACCTCAGCCCAAGTATAAACATTGGCCTCCCTTTCAGTTTACATCTAAAATGAGCACATGTCCAAATCTTATTTTATTCCCCCCTTCAATTCCCGAGTAATTTAAGCAACCAGTATCTGTGTACACTCTCTCTCTCTCTCCCCCCTTAAAATAGAGATTACCGTTTTCAAAAACTGGATTTACAATGTTTTAGATAGAATTAAAGGTGAACCCAGAAGTTGTCTAGGTACAGCAGGGGTCCACAGTAGGCAGGCAAGAGTCAAAAGGAGGAAAAATATTTGTTTGCCAAATATGAAGTCTGTAGGCTTGAAAGCATGCCCCATCAGAAAAACAAGACCTTTGTTTTATAAAAAAAAAATTCTAGCTACAATATTTTCATGAGATATCAGACCTTAAACTATCCCTAGATCCCTCAATTCTTCAAAACTGTTTTGGAGCCATTCTTCAAGTTACTAAAGCAAGCAACAGATCAATGTAATAGTTAATACCTGGGTAAAAAAGTGACTGAGATGAAGCAATCAATGTTTTTTTTGAACACAGGCTAGAAATTGATGTTGCTGAATGAAGGGGATCAGGTGTGCCACAATGCGTCATGGGTGATCTACTTCACCAGGTAAAGTGCATTGCGCCTTGTCCCATCCTCGATGGTGCAGGTCAAGGGGCAATGTGATTTCTCTGCTTTCCCAGCTCAGCCACTCCAATCCAGCCCCGTGGTCACAGGGAGTAGTCTGGCCGAGTGGGGAAAATGGGGCTTCTGCCTGCTCAGCCACACTTGCTCCTGTGATTTCAAGGAACAGTCTGGCTGAGTGGGGAAAGCAGGGCTTTCCTGTTTATGGGGAGACACCCTGAGATCCCTCAGGGTGCCTCACTGTAAGGGGGAAAGTGCCCCTGCTTGGGCTGGCTAGAAAGTACAAGCAGCTCAGGCTGCCCATACTCTCCCACCACATAGCTGACAGACGACCACCACAATAAAGTGGCCATTTATTGCTACCTGTTGGCATGCATGCAACTGATTTTCCTTTGATGTTGTTCAACGAAGGGTAGCAGCGTCTATCTGCTAACAATTTGTTATGGTGACACAAATGAAACAACAGGTGATGTCTGTTTCTACCCTGTGTCCAATTCTGTACAGAAACCTATTCTTGCTATGCAGTAAAAGGCTATACATTTTATTTTTCCTGAAAGCATAAAACACATGTATTTTCTTGGTAGGGGAATAATAGAAATTAAAAGAATTCAGGTGATTTTCACAGAGTATAGTTACTGATGACCTTTAAGTCGTTTTGGCATTTAACTTGGTAATCAACTTACTATAGCTTCTATAATTGCAGCTGTAGAAAAATCAAAACTAGATTATATGCACTGCTTTTTGCTTATAACAGCCTTGCAGAAGAAACAATCCGCAGGTGCTTCCTTGAAGTGAGACTATATAAATGTATATCAAGAATATTCCCTGCTCTAATTTAGAACAATATACTTTGCGATTTAAAAAAAAAAAGGCTAGAAACATAGAAGTATCAGCTGCAGAAGCTGGCATTAAATTCATCTAATCTTTTTCAAACTGTTGGTGGAAGAGGTACATCAAAGGAAGAGGCATGATAAGAAAGAGGCATAACAAAGGGAAAAAGGGAATTAAAATGGACGAGGTTTCACTAAATTACTAGACCACTTGAAATATATACCGGCAACAGCAAGCAGTGCTGTGTAATACCACCGGACAGGAGCATGCCTGGCAGTTTACAAACATGAAAGGGTCCCAAGCCTAGAGACACTTTCCATCTTAATAGGTACTATTTCTAAAACTGTTGTACCCAAAGCCCGCAAATGAGGATTTCTGCCCCACTGACACAGGCATCACACACCACACCATAAAGACAACCCATGCTTCAGTTTGATTCAGACAGATAAGTTGAGGAACAAGTTAAAAGTTTAAGTTCCTGCAGAAGTGCAGCTGCAGATCTCACACAACATGGAATCTGGTGCTCCTGTCAAAGGGTGGCACATTCCTGACCCTTACAATTGCTGAAATAAGAGCAACAGAACTCCTCCACATGCCATGGTTTCTTTTGTTTGTATGCTTTTAAACATGCCCTGCCTTCAACTTCTCAGTTCTCATGGTACTTTCCTAGGTTACAGCCTGATCACTCTATTACTTGCACAACATGCCTTATTGTTTCTCATTCTGACCCAGAATTGCTTTGCCCAAATGGTTAACATTGTTTTAGTCCTGTTCAAAGGCTAAGCACTGTTTACTTGGTTTAAAAGTTGGGTTCTCTCACAAGGACCTTGTGACAACATTACCAAGGCTCAGGAGCAGTAGACAAAAAGGGGCCTCCAGGGCCACTGAAGCAATGAC